TTATAAATATTATATTCCAAAATCGGGCCCTTAATAGGACCAGAGAAATTTTATTGTTTTGAACAGGAAGTTTTCTTAGTTTAGTGTGCAGTTGCAACTTTGGAATTTAAAGGTCAAAGAAAGCCTGGGAACTGCCAAAATTCTAGTTGTTGGTTTTATTAATCTTTTTTGTTGGTGGTGGTTTTTTGTTTGTTTTGTTTTGTTTTTTTGAGTCAGGGTTTCTCTGTGTAGTGCTGGCTGTTCTGGAACTCACTGTATACCAGGCTGACCTCGAACTCTGAGATCCACCTGTCTCTGCTTCTGAAGTGCTGGGATTAATTAAACTACCCAGCAGTTTTATTAATCTCTATTTTTTCCTCAATTTAATTTTCCAGCACAGTTTTTAAAAATTACATTTATCTATTGTGAGGAGGGGGCACCTCTTTCTACATTGTAGATTCTGGCAGTCAAACTCAGGTTGTCAAGGCTTGGTGCTAAACACGTTTATCCTCAAAGCCATCTTGAGAGCCCTATTTATCTTTTCCTGTATCTGTGCTTGGAACTGTCTGGGCAAACTGTGTACAGGTGCATGTGTGTTTAGGCTGGAGGGTCTTACAGTACTAGCACCTTAGCAGCGCCTATCAGATGTAGCACTATAGATAAGAATTCTGGCTTCAGGCCATGGTGGCGCACACCTTTAATACCAGCACTCAGGAGGCAAAGACAGGCAGATCTCTGTGAGTTAGAGGCCAATCTGGTCTACAGAGTGAGTTCCAGGACAACCAGGGCTACACAGAGAAAACCTGCCCCCCCCCCAAAAAAAAAAAAACCAAAACAATAAAAAAGAAGAAAAATTCTGGCTTAAACCAGGCATGGTGGCATGTGTTTGTAATTACAGCACTTAAGAAGTCTGAAGCAGGAGGACTTAAAGAAGGACCAGGACAGCCCAAGGCTACATAAGGAGTATCAGGAAGCATGGGCTACAGAGCAAGAGCCTGTTCAAAACAAACAAACAAACAAACAAATAAATAAATAAATAAAATGAAGGGGTCATGGAGATGTGTCAAGTAATGGGACTTAAGTTCTGATGCCCAGAACCAGGTAAATGCCAGGGAGGAGTGACTGCCCACCTGTAATTCTAGCACTGGAAGGCAGAGCCAGGGAATTCCCCTGAGCAAGCTGGCTAGTGAAACTAGACATATCAATAAGTTGTGGGTTAGGAGACCTGGCCTCCAAGAGTAAGGTGGAGATCCTTGGAGGGAGACTTCTGACAATCAGCCTTAGCCTAAGGCTGTGTAAGGTGCATTGTGTGCAAGCTCGGGCGGTCTTGCTCATTTATCCCAGTGTGCCACACAATAGTGTTTTCTCTCTGTCTAGAGTTTTTAAAATTTCAGTAATTGAGTCTCTTAACAGGAAAGATTGAAGGGACCGGCTAGTCTTAGGATAATTTTTGCTTTCATGTTTAAAAAAGACCATTTTAAAGAACCCCAGAAGTTCAAATAAATCTCTTGCCATGTGTGATTCAAAAGATACAGTTTAAAAGTAACAGTAAGAAATGACTTAAAGCTGGATACTTGTTCTTTCTTTAAAAACCGAAGTTCTACCAGCTGTTCTTCCAGAGGTCCTGAGTTCAATTCCCAGCAACCACATGCAGACAGAACATTGTATACATAATAAATAAATAAATAAATAAATAAATAAATAAATAAATAAATAAATAAATCTTTTAAAAAAAACCCGAAGTTCTTTCTTTAAAGCAGTAAGATGAGGAAAAAATATAGTTAGCTTCTATTAAACTATTGTTGACGCCTGGCTAGTTCTGAATGCTACTGTATCTTTTCTGAAGCTCACATTTTGTAAATCATCCGTCCAACTTGGGTATCCTGTTGGAATGTAACTTAATGCCTATTTTACATTATCTTCCTCTCTTTTGGAATGAATGAGATAAGATGTGCTAAAATTCTCAAATTGGGCTGGAATTCAGGCTCAACAGTTAAGCACTTACTGCTCTTCAGAGGATGAAGGTTTGATTCCCTGCATTGTTGTGGCAGCTTGTAACAGTAACTCCAATTCCAAGGGATCTGACACCTTCTGGCTTCCTCCAGCACCAGTTATGCATAGGGTGCACATGCATGTGGGGGAACATTCAAACACAGAGAATAAAAATAAATCTTTAAGAAAGTAATAAAGGGCTGGACAGTGGTGGCTCACGCCTTTAATCCCAGCACTTGGGAGGCAAAGGCAGACAGATCTCTGTGAGTTTGAGGCCATCCTGGTCTGCAAAGTGAATTCCAGGAAAGCCAGGGCTGTTACACAGAGAAAGCTTGTCTTTAAAAAAAAAAAAAAAAAAAAAGTAATAGAGGGACCAGGTGTGGTAGTGCATACGTTTAATTCCAGCACAAGGAGGCAGAAACAGGAAGATCCCTGAGTTCAAAGCCATCCTGGTCTACACAGCAAGCCCCAGAACTATACAGAGAGACCTTGTCTCAAAAAAAAGTAAGAAATAAAGGGACTAGGGAGTTGGCTCAGCAAAGAGCACTGTTCTTTCAGACCTGGTTTGATTCCCAGTACCCACATGGTGCCTCACAGCCATCTGTAACTCCAGGAACTCCTATGTCCTCTTCTGACCTCTGAAGGTACTAGGCACACACATGCAGGCAAAACACTCATACGCATAAAATAATTTAGAAAATCAAATTAACTTTTTAAATTTGAGGCAGTGTCTCATGGAACCCATATTGACCTCAAATTCACTGTGTAGCCAATGGTGATTTGTTTGTTTAAGTTTTATTTCTAGCCAGGTTTGGTGACTCACGTCTTTATTCCCAGTACTTGGGGCAGGGAGCAGAAGTAGGTGAATCTCTGAGTTTGAGGCCAGCTTTATCTATACAGTGAGTTCCAGGATGGCCAGGAAGTAACCCTGTCTCAAAAAGAAAGTAAAAATAAGATTATTTTTGTTTTATGCTTGTGTTTTCTCTGAGTGTATGTATGTGTACCATGTGCATGTAGTGCCTGTGGAGGCCAGAAGAGGGTGTTTAGATCCCCCCCAGAACTGGAGTTACAAATGGTTACAGATGGGTGCTGGGAACCAAACCTGGGTCCTCTTTAAGAATTTTTTGTTTTGTTTTAATTTCTTTGGGTGTTTTGACTGATGTATGTCTCTTCGCTGTACCACATGCATACAGTGCCCCTCAGGTCAAAAGAGGGCACCGAAACTGGAGCTACAAATGGTTGTGAGTTGTCATGTGAATGCTGGGAATGGAACTTGGGGCTTATCAACCACCAAGCTATCCATCATCTCTCCAGCCCCTGACCTTGAGCTTCTAATTTTCCTGCTTCCTCTTCCCAGATACTGGGGTTATAGGTAAAGGTGGGAGCTAGTAAACCTGGCTTTATGTGTTGCTTTGTGCCTTCTAAACAAGCATTCTACCAACTGAGTTTCAGATCTCCCTTCCTGTATAGGAGTCATTGAGACACATAGCAAGACATCCCCCCCCTTACTCTCCCCCCACTCCTTCCCTCCCTCTCTTCTCTCTCTTGACCTTGCTTGTCAGGTTTCCAGAGGCTACCTTAAAATAAGTTGAGATGTGATAAAACTTCCAGTACAGCTTTATTTCTTCACTTGGTCTTCTCCGTGTTCACTCTCAGCCTAAGTGTCTTCAGAGTCCCGGGTTCTTACGGAGGGCATCACCTACTAGACTACCTACCTTACAAGATGGGACTCTGGCTTTGGCTTACATCAGAACAAAATTTTAATCTTCAGGGACTAACAAAGGTCTTTCAGACTTCTTGCTTGCTTATTTCCTTGGGTCCTATTTTCTTTCCACTTTTGAGTATAATTGAGAAGACTCAGGGAGAAAACCAAGGAGTAGAATGTGCCCAGCATATTCAAAGCCCTGGGTTTAACTGCTAGGACCACCCCTAGTCCCACTTTTTTTTTTTTTTTTTTTTTTTTTAAGGGGAGAGGTTGCTTTTCAAGACAGGGCTTCTCTTTGTCTCTCTGGCTGTCTTGGAACTAGTTCTATAGACCAGGGTAACTAACCTTGGACTCCTCAGCAATCTGCCTAATGTGCCACCATGCTGGCCTAGTGCCACTGGAAGAAAAGGCAAGTTTGTTTGACTAAGATCGGGCTTGTTTTCTTTTTCTGGTTTTGTGGTACCAGGAACTGAATTTAAGGTCTTGCAGATGCTGTGCAAGCTCTTTACTGAGCTGTAATCCTGACCCTTGTTTGACTGAATTTTGATCTTTGAATTTACAATGAGGTAAGCAAGTACAAATGTCCTTTCCCTGAGTTTTCCACAGATGTTACTGCTTCTCTGCAGCAGTACTTAGGTACTTCCTCACAAGGTGGCTTTTCTTTCAACTGTAGCCCTGCATAAGGAGTCAGTAGTCTGACCACATTACTCAAACTTTTGTGTTTTGTTTGGCTTTTTTGTTTTTGTTTTGTTTTGTTTTGTTTTCAAGACAGGGTTTCTCTGTGTAGCTCTGGCTGTCCTGGAACTAGTTCTGTAGACCAGGCTGGCCTTAAACTCACAAAGATCTGACTGCCTCTGCCTCCTGAATGTTGAGTTTAAAGACCTGCACCACCACTGCCCATCGAAAATCAAGTATATCTTAATGTTATGTGTCTGCTAATTATTCTCTAAGATTTCCCAAATGATTAGGGTCAACATAAGATAATATTGAAGGTATCTGAGCTGCCTTTCCCTAGTTCTGTCAGATGTTAGAATCAGTTGATAATTGGTGGCTTTCTCCCGTTCTGGATTGTTTTAGCATGCCTTTGTAAACAGTGACAGTGCTGTTGTATCTACCCTCAGTGCTATTTTTATCTTACAAAGAATAGCCAAACATTGCCTTTGGATTACAGGCTACTTTGCAAAATAAGTATCAGTTTTAGCACGACTGGGATATTTTAGCATAGAGGTACATTTGAAATCATTATTATTAGTAAAATGGTTTTCCTCCAAAATACTTTGAGAAAAGTAATTTGTCTTTCTCCATTTTTTTTTTTTTTTTGCAGTTTGAAGAAAATAGGTCTGAAACAAGGTCTTACCCACATCTGTCTCTGAACACAGTGACTGCCAGATCTTCAAACATCAAGTTCAGCTTTGTCCGCCAACCTGTCTGACATGTCGGGACCCGTGCCAAGCAGGGCCAGAGTTTACACAGATGTTAACACGCACAGACCCCGAGAATATTGGGATTATGAGTCACATGTGGTGGAATGGGGGTAATTATTTACATTTACTTCACTGTGCTCACCCACAGTGCTGTATCTTGTAGATTTGTTGAGTAATTCATGTTAGCGAGCGTTCCCTGACCCCTCCAAAGCTCAAGGACAAAGCCGAGCTTGTGTTCTTGGGGCTACAAGTTTATTACATAGCAGGTTGGTGATCTGGCAAGCTCAGTTTCCGGGTTTGCAGTCTCAAAGTCGTTGTGGTTCCTTCTCTGGCTTATATATTTTGTGCATGAGGGCACTAAGAAAGACTTACCCGTCAGCTTGTTTTCAAGCTTTAAGCTTAAGGTTAGGGCTTGCCTGGGCTTCTGAGTTAAAAGCTAGCACTGAAAATAGGTGAGAGATTTTGAAGTACTTGAGAGACTTTGAAATCACCAAACTTAATTACTTAAGGTATTTTGGGGGTCAGAGTTCTGTCCCGTGGTGATAGTAAAGGAAGAAATAGTTCTCTAGAAACAAACTTATTTTGGATGAGAAGCAGGATTTACCCTTTATCCTTTACATGACCCTAGTTATATGCATCATAGAGTGCAGCCCAGGTCTATCCTCAAGAGCTGTAGCTTCCTTCAACAACCATGTTTACCCTCATAGTTACCCATGAGAGGCTCATTTGAACATTTGCATTTCCTGTCTGAACATGGCATTTAATTGGAGAGTTTTGTCAGTTTTTGTGATAAAAGCATTTTGATAGTTAAGTACAAAATAAAGCAGTTTGAAAAGGCCAGATGACCTTGAATTGGAGGTCAAACCTGGGCTATGTAGTGTAAAACCTTTCAAAAAAAAAAAATTAACTCCCATGTATGGCATTTTATATCTAATTCCATATGACTTTCTGTAGTCTGTAAGTGGGTAACACTGTCTCCCTGAACTGTCATAGGGTATGGTTCCATTCTGGTATGCTGTGATATTTAATAGCAAGCAATTTTTCTGCATATAAGGAGACACTCTTGGCTTAGAAATACCACTAAGAACTATAGTACAAACCTATAAATGTTATCACTACTGATAATCTTAACAATTCTGTATTATCGTAGACTTTGAACTCTAGGTACTATCTGTGTTTACTGCAGAAATCTTAGAGTCTTGTCTTAAAAAACCAAATGCTGCCATAGCTCTGCTGAAATGATACTTACAGAGCTGCTTTGAATGTTTACATGGTGCTATTTGCTTGCTTGTATTAGTTTATATGCCCTTGTATAAGAGAACTCAATGAACAGAAAAAGATCTGATAGTATTAAAATATTGTCCATTGTTCTTAGTTCAGTATGTTTTTTCTTTCTCCTTTTAACTGCTTGAGAAAATGAATGGCTGATAATGGCACATACTGTATTATAAGAATAAGTGGAATTTAGCCCTCTTCCCCCTATTACTTAGCATTAAACCTAGGACCTTGTAGATTGTAGATAGGTACTCAAGTGCTGAGATATAGCCCCAGGCTTTTTTCTTTTTTTTTTTTTTCTTTCGTGACATAGGGCTTCATGTAGTTCAGAGTAGCCTCACATTTGCTGTTTAGCCCAGGATGACATTGAACTTCTAATCCCCATGCCTCCAGCTCTCTGGAGCTGGGATTCAGGTGTGTAGCAGCACATTTTGGGTTATGCATCAGGGATTCATGCATGGTAGAGTGTTAACTGATCTTTTTGTTTTATTTGGGGGGTTTTTAAAAACTATTGCAGTTTATTTATTTGATGGGGAGGCTGCATATACCACATGTGCCAAAGAAAAATTTGGGAGTTGGTTCTTTCCATGCACAGTATGGGACCAGAGTTTGAACTCAGGCCTACTAGCAAGGGCCTTTGCCTTCTAAGCCATCTTGCCAGCCCATATTTATTTAAGATTTACTTATTTGATATGTATAAATGTTTTGCATGGTACCCTCAGAGATCAGGAGAGGAGATCAAATCCCCTGAAACTAGAGTTACAAATGGTCATGAGCCACCATGTGGGTGCTGGGAACTGAAGCTGGGTCCTCTGTAAGAAGAAGTGCTCTTAACCACTAATTCATCTCTCCAGCTTCTTTTTAATTTTTTTATTTTTTGGTATTTTGGGGATAGATTCTCATTCACTAAGGATGAGCTTGAACTCCTGATCCTCCTGCCTTTGCCTCCCAGGTGTTGGGATTTGATATTACAGGCATGTGCCACCAGCTCCACTTCATTTTTTTCTTTTGAGATAAAGTTTCTATAAGTTAAACAGGCTAGCCTTGAATTCACTCTGTGGCCCAAGCAGGCTCAAAATTTGTGATCCTCCTGCCTCGGCCTCCCAAATAGCTAGGTATAGGCATACATTACCATACCTGGTAGAATTGGGCCTTACTGGTTTGTTGTTGCTTGCTTGATTATTTTTGTGGCAAGCTTTCATTTTATAGACCAGTCTTGCCAGACCCCTTCCTGAGCCTCCTAAGTCCTGGGATTACATTTGTAGACCCCTGTAACCAGCCAGGCCTCCTGAAGGAACTGTGTTTATTGTTGGTTAGAGCAAGGGCCTCACGTAGGCAGCAGGGGATGAGGAAAAGAATTAACATCTGCCTTATTCTTTACTCTGCCTATGACCTCTAATGTCCTTATTAGTTAGCAGAGTGTGGGTAAACATGGAACTTCTGGTTCCGTAGGCAGAGTTTTCCTGTCCCAACTGCCTGCTCCCAAATAACTGACACAGAGACTTATATATTAATTATAAATGCTCGGCCAATAGATCAGGCTTGTTACTAGCTAACTCTTACATTTAAATTAACCCACATTTCTTATCTACATTTTGCCACGTGGCTTGGTACCTTCTCTTAGCACGGCACGCCCATCTTGCTTCTCCTGAGTCTGCTGACGATTCTCTGACTCTGCCCTTCTTCCTCCCAGCATCCTCAGTTTGATTGCCCCACCTGTACTTTTCGTATTGTTGGCCAATCAGTGTCTCATTAAACAAATTGAAGTGACAAGTCTTTTCAATGTACAAAAGGATTATTCCTCAGCAGGTTCACTATTTCTGATGTGGTTGCAAGCTTTATTAAATGTCAGGTCTTGTCCTGAAGGACAGTTGAAAGATCAAACATACATATTTGGAATCCACTTGTAGACAAGAAGCTTGATAAGAAAGGGCTGCTACCAGGTATAGTTGAACTGTAATAGTCTTAGATCATATGTTGAGTTCAGTGCCAATATTGGACCAGCTAGTATGAAGCAAGACTATATACAAATCAGTTACTGAAGGGGAAGTAGCTTGCTTTTGGAAACAAACATATATTTAAATCTCAGTACAAACTAACCATGTGTACTGTGCCATTAGATCATGAAGAGTTGGAGATTTAAAATAATATTTGAAAAAAGCTTAATAATAATAATTCTTTTTTCAGCTGGGTGGTGGTAGCACACACCTTTAATCCCAGCACTCAGGAGGCAGAGGCAGAGGCAGGAGGATCTCTGAGGAGCCAGCCTGGCCTACAGAGTGAGTTCCAGGACAGGCTCCAAAGCTACACAGAGAAACTCTGTCTCGGAAAAAAAAAAAAATAATAATAATAATAATAATAATAATTCTGTTTCTTTTTAATGTTTATTGAGACAGAATCTCATGCAATCCAGGCTAGCTTTGAACTATGTAGTTGAGGATGACCTTGAACTTCAATCCACTTGTCTTTACCTCCTGAATGCTAAGAATATAGGTGTGTACCATGTCTGGTTTACATGGTTCTGGGGGTTGAACCCAGGGCCATGTGTTTGCTAGGTCAGCACTATCAGTTGAGTCATATCCCCAAATTCTTTCCTATTTGCTACACACATAATTTTAATTGGCCCAGATTTGTTGTTGTTTTTTTTTGTTTGTTTGTTTGTTTGTTTGTTTGTTTTTTGAGACAGGGTTTCTGTGTAGCCTTGCGCCATTCCTGGATCTCGCTCTGTAGACCAGGCTGGCTTCGAACTCACAAAGATCCGCCTGCCTCTGCTTCCCGAGTGCTGGGATTAAAGGCATGCGCCACCACCGCCCGGCCCAGATTTGTTTTTTAATGTAACATTTGAAGTATCTCTTACTTATATTACTTCTGCTGGTAATAAGAGTTGTCTATTTCTTTCTCTTTTCGTGTGTGTGTGTGTGTGTGTGTGTGTGTGTGTGTGTGTTGCTTCTCTTCCTTGCTTCAATAAGCTTTCTGTAAATAGCCCAGGATGACTTTGAATGCAGATCTTCCTGTGTTCACCTGCCAAGTGCTGGACTTATAAGCATGTTCCACCATGCCTGGCAAAAATAGAGCTTTACAAGTTGAAAATTTGATATTTTGAAATCATTGTCACTTTGTTTTTATCCACAGAAATCAAGATGACTACCAGCTTGTTCGAAAATTAGGCAGGGGCAAATACAGTGAAGTGTTTGAAGCCATCAACATCACAAATAATGAAAAAGTTGTTGTTAAAATTCTCAAGGTGAGTACAAGAGGAGAAAAAATGTCAGACTTATTTGAAATGTGGCATCTATTCATATAGATGCCTTTTTATACATGTCACTTGAAAGATTTTTTTTCCCCAGTAATATAGCCTGCCTCTTATATTCTCTGAAGTCAACAGAACACCCAATGCTAGCTTGCCAGATCAGACCTAAAGCAAGAGAAGAGGTGGTTAGAATGTGGCCGAAGAGGCTCCTCTTTCCCAAGTCTTACCTAATATCCATTTCAGTTTGTTTTATGCTTTTGTTTTTAATAAGCAAATCATTGCCTTTGCTTTGTAAGAATAAGGAAGCAAGCAGGTGTGTGTACCTAATGTGGTATCACCATCTCTACTTCAGCTATGTGAGTGGTAGGGACTAAGACAAGCCTGGGAGCACATGCTTCATCAGAAAAAGGAATGGTCTAGGCATGTGACTCAGTGGTAGAATGCTTGCTTAAAGTGCATCAGGTCTTGGGTTTGTTTCCTAGTGCTGCAAAAAACGGAGAAAGAAACAAAATAACAGCTGGGAACATTACTCAGTAAAGTGGTGGCTGTGCAAGTCTGAGGACCTGGGTTCAGATCCCTAGTAAACACCTAAAAAGCCAGACATGGCTGTGCGTTCCTGTAATTCCAGTACTGGAAACTTAGAGGCTTGAGTATGTCTGAGACTTTCTGGCCAGGCAGGCTAATCACTCAGTAAGCTTCAAATTTAATGAGAGAGGATAAAAAGACCCTGTCTCAAAGTATAAGGTAGAGCACTAGCAAGATGGCCCAATAGGTAAAGATGCTTGCTGCCAAAACTGACAACCTCAGTTTAGCCTCTAGAACCCACATGGTTCAACTCTCCCTGTGTTGTGCTTCCAGCTTAATTAAAAGTAAATAAATGTTATATAACATTTGTAACAAATGTAGTGGAGAAGCAATTGAGGAGATGCCCAGTATTGACACACATGTATCTATGCACGTATTGACACACATGTATCTATGCACATGCACCGGCGCACACCCTCCCCAACAAAAGAAAAGGAGGTGGTTGCTTCTTAGCTGCAGCTGACTAGTGCCGTGTAGCAGTGCAAGTCTAGTGTCTCTTATGCTTTCTTTTGCAAAGAGAATTTAGGAAACAGTATTTACATAATCTGATACTTTCAATGTTGACTCTAGAAGACTGGAGAGATGACTTAGTGGTTGAGGGCACTGACTGCTCTTCAGAGAATCTGATGCCCTCTTATGACCTCTGAGGATATCAGGCATACACGTGGTACACAGACACACATGCAGGCAAAACACCCATACACCCATACACATAACATTTTAAAAATACATAAATTTTTGCTTAAGGTTTTTGAAATATTACATAAGTCAGATTTGCCAGTGGGTGTCAATATTCTACTTCTGTTGATTAATGCACTGCCTGCTATGCTACATTATTCTGGGGACTCAGCTCATCATTCCTTGCCACAGAAGTGTCTGTTGCTACTAAGAAGCAGAAATTCCCAAACACTTTTCATTTGTAGCATTTTTCTTGTCTCACAAATTTTGGTAGACCAGGCTGGCCTCCAACTCACAGAGATCCAACTGCCTCTGCCTCCTGAGTGCTGGGATTAAAGGCATGTGCCACGACCGCCCGGCATCTCACAAATTTTTTAATGATAGTCCACAGGCAAAACAAAAGCACACACACACCTAAAACCCCAGAAACTATTAGTTCTAGCTATTAGCCATTTTAAAAGAAATTGCATTCCTTTAAAGTATATTCAAGACGCAAAGCAGGAATATTGGTATGAATTTGAAGCCACCTGGGCTATAGGAGACTGTGCAGGAAGGAATGAAAAAGATCCCCCCCCCTTTTCTAATGTATTAAAAGCTTTATTTTAACATTTGTGGGTCTTTGGAGATCAGAAGACAACTTGGAAGAGTTGATTTTTGCCTTCCATCATATGGACTTAGGATGACTCTCAGGATCAGCACAGCAGTGGTGGTGACAAGTGCCATTAAAGGCTGAGCCACCTCTCTGGCCCCATTAAAAGATTTTTTTTGTTTAAAAAGATCTACTGTGTTGCCATTTTAAATGGTGGCTTAACAAGGTTTTAAAGTGTGACATACTGCAAATAAATTGAAACTAAATGATAATTCTGTGGATATCTGGTCTTTGGAGTAGATACTTTTAAGTACCTGCAGAGTGCCTGATAGTGCTGGGAGTTGGGGTTCTGAGAAGTCTGTACATTTCCTTTCTTCAGGAAGCTCATATAGAAGCTGTTTTTGTTACAGTAACTGTGAGATATACTCAGAAATACTTTTATGTGTGTGTGTATGCTAATATACTTTTACCGTTTCAGCCAGTAAAAAAGAAGAAAATTAAGCGTGAAATAAAGATTTTGGAGAATTTGAGAGGTGGTCCCAACATTATCACACTTGCAGACATTGTAAAAGACCCTGTGGTAAGTACAGTAGTTGTTAGCAAGGCGAGCAGGGCTCAGGTGGTTTTGGGCCCCAATACATCTTACTTAGTTCTGTTTTCACTACCTCACCATTAAATATTGCTTTAAATGTTCTAAATAAGTTACATGTTTAACCAGCTTAGGTCCTGCTATGAAAGAAGAGACTTAAAACATACAAATACATTTTTTTTTTATTTTTTTATTTTTTTCCGTTTTTTGAGACAGGGTTTCTCTGTGTAGCTTTGCGCCTTTCCTGGGACTCGCTTGGTAGCCCAGGCTGGCCTCGAACTCACAGAGATCCACCTGGCTCTGCCTCCCGAGTGCTGGGATTAAAGGCGTGTGCCACCACCGCCCGGCAAATACATTTTTTATACACACACACAAAGTCTGTTACTCTAGCGTAGGAGATTGATAACACTAAAAACCAAATGTGTAAATCCAATCTGCAAACCTAGGCCTAGAGCTGGTGGGTAATAGAAATATTGTTGGGTCTCCTAGAGCCTTGGGAGATTTCTTCAGAATCCTTCCAAAAATAACCTAAGTGTGCTAATGATCAGAGTGGACACATTTTCTTACTACTGCAGCAAAGACTGCCACATTTCCCACACAAAGGCCACAAGCTGGAAACTAAAGCTGCCAGGGACAGTACTAATGTCTTTTCTTTTTCTTCCCTTAGTCACGAACGCCCGCCTTGGTTTTTGAACATGTAAACAACACAGACTTCAAGGTATCATCCATAAGAAACCATTTCAAACTACTAGATTTTTAGATCATACAGAAAGTCTTTTGGACATGACAGTGTAAAAAGAGCCTGCTTTTTGCTTGTTTTAAAAAGAGTGTTTTGCCCCTAGATTGATCAGTGCTAAAAGTAGTACCTGTTTTCCATGTCTGGATAGTTTATGTTTGTATTTGTTTAGTGCTCTTTGAATAACTGGTGAGTACATTTACATCTCACCACATTTATCATTGACTTAACAGTTTCTACTGGTGTCCAGACTAGTCAGGGTGACAGTACATGTTGACTTTAGGCAGCGAAGTTCAAGAAAGAATAAATGGTTTCTATAATAGTAGGGACTACATGCAAATTCCTTCGGATCTTAGGAACTTTAGGCTATTACTCTGTTTCCTTATTCTCATTCTGTTGGATATTGAACCCAGGTCTTGAGAGTTTAAAGTGCCTGGTAATTCAGCTGTCATTGAGCTGTACTCCCTCCCCTGGGGTATGGATCATAAAAGATAATGAGAAAAGGTCATGTAAGATTTTACTATAACACAAACATGTACAATACATGTCTCTGAGTGGCCTACCTATTCACACAGTTCTCTGTTCCGGTATAACTGAAAAGTGTAGTGCTTTCCTCAAGTCCACATTTAATAGAGTTGGACTGGCCTTTGTCTAAGGCCAGTATCAGGAGTGTTACTGTCACTAAACAGATGGTTTAATTTGCTTGAAAAAAGAGAGAAAAGAGAAACTGTTTTAGATATTTTAGAATCAGAATGATAAACTCAAACTGTCAGAGAATGCCACTCACCATTTAAAGGTAATTAGATGTAATAATTTGCAGCCTTTTGAGAAACTGGAAAAGTTATATTGCAGATGTTTGCAGAGTGTATAGTCACCAGAGACTGGAATGGTTCTGTTCAATTGGCTCAGTAAATCTTTCTTCACATTTTCATACCCACTGGTGATGATAGTACCAAGTGTGCAGGCACAAGAAGGGACATTTCACTACTACGGAGGTTGTCTACCAAAATGCCTTTGAAGGGAGTGAGAAGGCAAATGAAAAAGAAAACCCTAGGTTGTAAAAGTGTATCAGTGCATGTTGTGTCAATCATATGTGTAAGTAGGTTCCAACATTCCATTATAGCTTCAATATGTGTTACGTTATTCTTTACCTTTTCGTGTAGAGGTGAAGACTCCAAGAGTCTCTTGAAAGTGAATTTTTGGTGGAGAGGTAGAGAACATTTGAAAAACAAATCTTAATGAGCCATTTCTTAGTTGAAATTACTATTAATTAGGATAAGAAAATCTTAACATTGCTTTATAGCTTAAATAATTTCATTTTTCTTTAACAGCAATTGTACCAGACATTAACAGACTATGACATTCGATTTTACATGTATGAAATTCTAAAAGTAAGTAACTGTAGGTACTAAGTATTTTTAAATTGGTCTTTGCTTTGTCAAAAAGTTTTATTTGATGGTAGAAGAACCAGGGGATTAACTTTGTAATGTGTACTCAAATCAGGGAGCTTCAGCAGTAGTTGTAAATTGTGTTTAGTATTAGACCCTTGGGTAAAGTCTTGGTAATGAAATGGGGTGCAATAGAACTTATAATTAGAACGTGTGGGGTTTATGCAACAGGGTCTCTTAAGCAAGGCTGGCCTACAACTTACAAGACAGTCCAGTCCAGGGTGGCCTCTCTTGATGATCTTCCTGCCCTAGCCTCCCACATTCTGGGACTCACAGTTATGACCCACGGCACCCAACTTTGGAATGCCTTTTTTTTTTTTTAAACAGTTTTTATTCTGTGATGCATGCCAAACAGGTACTTTACCAATTAGCTGTATCCCCAGCCCTAGAATGCCTTAAAGAAAACTGGGAGTGGAAATGACAGTGTGAAAACAACTCTTTTTTTTTTTTTTTTTTTTTAATGCACTGGCTGCTGATATACTTTATTTTACTTGGGATTCAACAAATGATGCTGGCCTAGAGGTGCAGGCCTTCCTGTAATCCCAGTATGAGGACTGCCACATGTTTGAGGCCAGCCTGGGCTACAGAGTGAGACTATCAAGAAACAAACAAGATTAAAAAAAGATTATTGAACTCCGCCCTCAGAGGGTTATTGTTCTATGGACTGTTAATTTCTTCTTATAGATTGCTGACTACTAGTGGGTGGACTTTGATTTCTAAAGTGAGATCACAAATTATCTTGCCACTCAGTAGTTACAAGGTCAGCTTTATAAGGAAAGACCTGCTTAGAGTTGGCTAAAGTTTCTTATTAATCATGGGTTAATATCATGCCAGCTGTTTTAGATTTAAAAGTATCAAAAGAAAGGTAGGCATGTTTGTACATGCTGTTGATCCCAGCACTTAGGAGGCAGAGGCAAGCAGATCTCTGTGGTTTTGAGGCCAGTCTGGTCTATATAGTGAGTTCTAGGCCAGCCAGAGTTACATAGTGAAACACTGTTTCTCCTCTCCCCCCCCCCAAAAAAATAGCATCAAAAGATATACCTGCAGAGACATCTGATCTTCCATTGGCTCAAGTGGAAAGCAGGACGTAAGCTGTAGATATATTTGCCCAGTCCTGCAAACTAGAATCCCAGGTTGTCCTTCAGGAAAAACAAGAACTTAGCTAATGGCATTGGTTGACTAAAGGCCAGGATTGACAAACTCAAAGGTGTGTTGCTCCATTCACTTTAACTTAAACTTACGAACTATATTGAGATTCATGTACTAGATGACCTAGGTCAGGAGTTGACAAATTTCTTTATAGAGCTGAAGTCTTTGTCCTGCTGTTCAGCTCTGCTGTTACAGCAAGAGAATAGCCATGGATGATATGTACACACATAGGCACAGTTTTGTGCAGATAAAACACTCAAATAGCCGGGCGGTGGTGGCGCACGCCTTTAATCCCAGCACTCAGGAGGCAGAGCCAGGCGGATCTCTGTGAGTTCAAGGCCAGCCTGGGCTACCAAGTGAGTCCCAGGAAAGGCGCAAAGCTACACAGAGAAACCCTGTCTCGAAAAACCAAAAAAACAAAAAAAAAAAAAAAAAAAAAAAAAAAAACACTCAAATAAGCAGGCAGCTGGTGAGTCACACTCCCCCCCTCTCAGCTACTTAAGAAATTACTGTTCTTTAAATAAAGTGTTGGTAGGCTAATTTTCTTCTGAGGGGAATGTGTTTGTAGGAATAATTTAGGTTTTGGGTACGAAGTTGTACAGTTGCTGTACGCTTTGGTTCTTTCTAAAGAGAAAGGATGCTGAAATGAAGAGCAGCATATATCTATCATCCCAGCACTCAGGAGGCTGAGGCAGACATGTTGACAGAAGTTTAAGAGTAGCCTGGGCTACAACATTAGCACGACCCTGTTTTCACAGAGAGATGAGATGAGATGATTTTGTAGCTTGACTATTAGATCCCTGAGTGTCTTGGACTTTGTGGACCAGGTCTTGAAGAATAGCTGAGAGTGACTGTCCTCACCCTGGTCCCCTGGGTGGTTGTGAGACTAGAAGAAAAGCAACTCCAAACAATGACTCATGTAAGAAATGTTTTCTTTCTTGCAGGCCCTGGATTATTGTCACAGCATGGGGATTATGCACAGAGATGTGAAACCCCATAATGTCATGATTGATCATGAGCACAGAAAGGTAAAGCCATAGTCAAACTTCTTTTATAAACATGATGGAGTTAGCAGTCCATTTTGAACACTTTATCCCTATTGTCTATCTTAGTACCTGTTAGATACTTGATAAATACTTGGCAGGTGATTGAAATAATTAAGCCTCCATGCCCAGTTTATGTGATACTGGGGGTTGAACTCAAAGCCTCATGCATGCTACACAAGCAGTCTACAAATGTGTGTGTGTTCAGATATATGTGTTTCAATTTTGGATTTTCTTCCTTTGGAGTCATACATCTCTGGCATTTGTTTGCTTGTTGGTTTTTTGTTTGTTTTTTTTTTTTGGTTTTTTTTTTTTTTTTTTTTTTTGGTTTTTCGAGACAGGGTTTCTCTGTGTAGCTTTGCGCCTTTTCCTGGAACTCACTTGGTAGCCCAGGCTGGCCTCGAACTCACAGAGATCCGCCTGGCTCTGCCTCCTGAGTGCTGGGATTAAAGGCGTGCGCCACCACCGCCCGGCTTTTTTTTTTTTTTTTTTTTTTTTTTTTTTTTTTGAGACAGAATTTCTTTTCTTTTTTTTTTTTTTTTTTTTTTTTGGCATAGCTTTGCGCCTTTCCTGGATCTCGCTCTGTTGATCAGGCTGGCCTCGAACTCACAAAGATCTGCCTGCTTCTGCCTCCCGAGTGCTGGAATTAAAGGCGTGCACCACCACTGCCCAGCTGGAGACAGGATTTCTATTGGCACCTGAGGCTCTCTAATTTGGTAGCTGGCTAGCCAGTGAGCTGCATAGGTCGTTCCACCTGCCATTACTTCCCCAATGCTGGGATTACAAATTTGTGCTGCCTTGCCTGGTGTTGTTTTTGTGTATGTGTGTAGCTTGAGTTTTTCTGCCTGGCCCACAGTCAGGACAAATCTCTATCACCTGCCAGTCCCACAGCCACTCAGACCCGACCAAGTAAACACAGAGACTTATTTTGCTTACAAACTGTATGGCCATGGCAGGCTTCTTGCTAACTCTTCTTACAGCTTAAATTAATCCATTTCTATTAATCTATACCTTGCCACATGGCTCGTGGCTTACCGGCATCTTCACATGCGGCTTGTCATCATGGCGGCTGGCAGTGTCTCTCCGTCTCAGCTTCCTGTTCTCTCAATTCTCCTCTCTCTTAGTCCCGCCTATATTTCCTGCCTGGCCACTGACCAATCAGTGATTTATTCATTGACCAATCAGCAACACATTTGACATACAGACCATCCCACAGCATATGTGTGCTGAGGTTAAAACTCAGGTTTATATCCTTTTATGGCAAGCACTTTGACTGGGCTATCTCCTCATCCCTGACATTAAGATTTTTAAATTGCCCAAATCCACCTCTTACACAGTGATGACTGTTGTAGTCTTAGGGAATTTAGGTGCCTAGTTAATACATTTTCCGACACATTCTTTGTAATAGGTTCTTTGAGGCTGGAGGTATATGAATGAACAAAGCAGACAAAAATGCTTATCTCTAACAGAGGTTACATTTCAGTCAAGTGTGGTAGCTAAAGCCATCATGCAAGCAGTCTCAATACTTTGGAGACTGGGCCAGGAGATTGTTTTGAGTTCAAGGCCAGCTTGGTTCTACATAGTGAGACCCTGTTTCAGAGAGGTTTTGGAAAGGGAAGGAAGGATGGAGGGATCAGGGAGTAGGCAGTGACAGATTATAGAAGATACTTTAGTTTTAGATAAGGGATATCTTGTAATTAGTTAGAGCTTCTATTGGTATGATTAAAAAACATGACCAAAAATAATTCGAGTAGGGAAGGGTTTATTTCGGTTATAGTTCCACAGCACAGTCCATCACTAAGGGAACCTGGAGACAGGAGCTGATGCAGAGGCCATGGAGGAGTACTGCTTACTGGCCTTGCTCGGTCATGGCTTGCTCAGCCTGCTACCTACCATTTAAGATGGTGCAACACAGGCTTGCCTGCCTGCCTGCCAATCTGGTTGGGGCATTTTCTCAATTGAGGTTTCTTCTTCCCAAAATACTCTAGCTTGTGTCAAGTTAAACTAAAACAAGCCAGCACAGTGTAGAAGAATGTACTATGTGGTTCCATTGGAAAAGTGACAGCTTTGAGAGTACTGGAGTAGACCCAGCAATACAATGTAAGAAATAAGTATATTTCAAGAAGAAAAAGAATTTCTCTCCCTGAGTAAGCTAAATTCTAGAGCAGACACCAGCATAATACCCTCTAATTTGATTCAGTTGTAGCACTGTCTACCTAGACGTCATATCAGATTCCTAAGGCTTCCCCTTCTTCCCTTTCAAATGCTGGCTACAAGCCCCAGGTTGTTTTATCTGCACTTTGGAACAGTTGGTTATTACTTTTTTACACAAATCCTTCTCTGATTCAATTTGCTAGAGCATTTCAGAATTTAGGTAAGTAGATTTACTGATTTGTTCAAATGATATTACAAATGACAACAGATGAAGAGATGCTGAGGACAAGGTTTGTGGGGAGTTGTGCAGAGCTTCCATGCCATCTCCCACTACACTGCCTTCCAGGAACTGCCACATAACTGTCCAGAAGCTCCTAGAGCTCTACCCTGTGGGTTTTTTTTTTGTTTTTGTAATAAGTGTGATGAAGTGAGAACAGCTAAGTAGCATGTAGTGGGCTCGGTGGGAAACAAGCAAGACTGGTCTTTTCACAATCTTCCCAGACGTGATACAAGACCCATTTGGAAAGGGTATCTTCATATATGATCTGCCAAAACAGGTTTTCATACAAGTTTCTGTGGTCTAGTGTAGGAAAGAGAAACTTAGTTTCTATTCCTTACCTTCAGGAGAAAGAGGAATGGTCAAAATGAATACACAAGGGAGAATTTGCTCTCTGAGGCCTACACTGTGCCAGAACTCAGGCTAGGAATGGAGCTCAGTACCTAGGAAGCTCTGGATCAAAGACCAGCACACAAAGAAAAAGGCAAAAACTGTACCAAAAAGTATGTTTATCATTTTAGAAACTTAGAAAATAGGCCGGGCGGTGGTGGCGCACTCCTTTAATCCCAGCACTCGGGAGGCAGAGCCAGGCGGATCTCTGTGAGTTCGAGGCCAGCCTGGGCTACCAAGTGAGTTCCAGGAAAGGCGCAAAGCTACACAGAGAAACCCTGTCTCGAAAAACCAAAAAAAAAAAAGAAACTTAGAAAATATAGGTATTATGGAAATTAGACAGAAAACATGGGTGAAAAACAATGTGTGTGTATTAAACTCATAACATCACAATGTGGCATGCTAGTACAGCAGCATGTGTAGAGCTGAGATAGAAAGAGAAGAAGGAAATGAGGTCGGGGAAGAGAATCTTCACATCCTGCGTTGTTGGCAGACCTCTTCTCTGAAGATGGGGAACAGGGTCTGGGCAGAGTGCTGACATGTTGAAAGCTCACTGCATGTGTAGAGGAATAGCTAAAATGAAAAGGCAGCGGCTTTGCAAGGTTCTGACAAGTGTCAGAATGAATAGTTTGAAGATGCTGTAATTATATGTGACATGTTGGTTTTTTTGTTTGTTTTGTTTTGTTTTTCTTTCAGCTAAGGCTAATAGACTGGGGCTTAGCTGAATTTTATCATCCTGGCCAAGAATATAATGTCCGAGTTGCTTCCCGATACTTCAAAGGTCCAGAGCTACTTGTAGATTATCAGGTAAGAAGAGAATGGCAAGTATGGTGCAGTTTCTGTGCTTATTTTGTGCAGAATTTGCAGAAATGTCAGTTTGTGCTTTGAGTAAGCCATTTATTATATCCGTAGCTATCCTTTTTTAGGTAAAGTCTTCTGTAACTTGTTTTGTTTGTGTGTGGTAATGGTAATGCTAAATTACGGTCCTAAATTTACCAAAGCAAAACCAGAAGATACCCAATAAGAGATTCTCTTGAGCCGGAAGGTATGTTGTGCATAACTTGTAATCCAGCTCTTAGGAGATAGAGGCAGAAGGATGAGTTCAAGGCCAGCCTGAACTACATGAGACACTCTTTTAAAAAGAAGGACGAAAGAAAAGTCTGTAGGTCTCCTAAATTGAGCCTCAAATGTAAAGAGTACACACACACACGCACGCACGCACGCACGCACGCACGCACGCACACACGCACGCACACATATTCCAGTCTTGGTGGTTCACACTGATATCCTTGTACTTGGAAGGCTGAGGCAAAAGAATTGCCACAAGATTGATATCTGCCTTGAGCTACAATATAAGACCTTGTTCCCCAAATGGAAAAAAGGCAGATGGGAGAGATGCCTCAGAAGTTAAGAGCACTTGCTACTCTTGCAGAGGACCTGGGTGCAATTCCTAGCACTCACATGTGGCTCCCAACAATTGGTTACTCTGTCCTCTGCAAACACTGGCACATAGGCAATACACACATACATACATACAGGCAAAACATGCATAAACATACAATTATAACATGACAAATATACACACAAGCAAAACATGCGTAATTACAATTACAGTCTTTTAAAGCCTCGAAGTGGTGGTGCACACCTTTAATCCCAGCACTCGGGAGGCAGAGGCAGGTGGATTTTTGTGAGTTCCAGGACAGCCAAGGATGTTACACAGAGAAGCCCTGTCTCAAAAAAACAAAACAAAGGGGCTGGAGAGATGGCTCAGTGGTTAAGAGCACTGGCTGTTCTTCCAGAGGTCCTGAGTTCAATTCCCAGCAACCACATGGTGGCTCACAACCATCCATAATGAGATCTGGTGCCCTCTTCTGGCCTGCAGGCATGCATGTAATCAGAACACTGTATACATAATAAATAAATAAATCTTTAAAACAAAACAATCTTTTTTTAAAAAAATATGTGTGTGTGTGTATATTTTATATTTATTTAATTTTATGTTTATGAGTGCTTTGCTCGATTGTAAATCTTGAATATCACATTTGTGCCTGGTTCCTATGGAGGTCAGAAGAGGGCATTGGATTCCCTGAAACTAGTTTTAGAGGTCTTTGTGAGCTGCTATGGGGGTACTTGGGCTCTAACTTGACCCCCCTGGAAGAGCAGTCAGTGCTCTTAACCACTGAGCTGTCTCTCCAGCCCCAAAATAAGTTTGTTTTTGGGTTTTTTTTTCAAATGGGAAAAAAAGATTTACCCAGTATTTTAGAATTCCTTAGGAGACAGTTTTCATACCTATACTTTCTGAGGTTCTGAGCTGTTATCAGATACCTTAAAGTTTCAGGCTCTACCCTAAAAGTTCCATCTCTAGAATTCTAAAGAATGTAGCCTTGCCGGGCGGTTGTGGCGCATGCCTTTAATTCCAGCACTCGGGAGGCAGAGCCAGGCGGATCTCTGTGAGTTCGAGGCCAGCCTGGGCTACCAAGTGAGTTCCAGGAAAGGCGCAAAGCTACACAGAGAAACCCTGTCTCGAAAAAAACCAAAAAAAAAAAAAAAAAAAAAAAGAATGTAACCTTGCCAGTCTAGGTGGTGTGTAATGGTATATGCTTTTTAATCCCAGAGCTCAAGAGGCAGAGGCAGGCAGCTCCCTTTGAGTTCAAGTGCAGGAAGGAAGGCATAGTGAGCTCTAGGACAGCCAAGGCTATGCAGTGGCAGGTACCCTGTTTCAAAGAGGTAACTAGGTTGGGTAGGCCTTCTCTCTTAAGGGGATCCTTGGATTTCGTCACATAGTAAAATTTGCAGGTTTTCTTATGCAAGTGAAGAAAGCAGTTCAGAGTAGTATTACAGTTGGTTTTAAAACTGAGTTGAGGTGCTGAGATGACTCAGAAGTTAAGAGTACATGTTGTTCTTGTAGGAGACCCAAGTTAGGTTCTCATAACCACCTATAACTCCAGCTCTAGGAAATCCAGTGCCCTTGATCAAGGGGGTGGGTAATTTCACTCATGTGCACATACTCCACTCACCCTGTACCCTGTACACAAATACACATAATTAAAAATAAGTCTTTAGGGAGAAATAAAACTGGATCGAAAGAAGGGTTGACAATGTATGTAGCCTATTGGTGAAATTATTAAGGCCACTCCACGTAGTTAAAAGGAGATTTATTTAATGGCGTAACTTACAAATTAAGGAATAGGTAGGTCGCGGAGTCTGGGGAAGGTGTATCACAGTCCAGCGGTGTTCTCTGGAGCTCTGCTTGGTCCACCTCTCCAGTCCAGGATTCCGCAACCGAGATCCCCCGGCGCCTCCCTTGGCCCCGCCTTGTAGGCGTGACAGTTGCCGAAGTCTCAATGGGGGTTGGAACTTCCAGATCAAAGCTGGAATGGCTACCCACTACAGTAGCCTAATGGTAAACCAATTGCCTAGTATGCCCACAGCTCAAGATTTGATCCCCAGTACTAAAAAAAAAACAAGCCAATAACTGGGTGAAAGAAACCATACAAAGACTGAAAAGGGGTACATGAATGTGTTATTGGTGTTTCACTATGAGTGAAGTGATTTTTAAAATACTTGTTTAAATGTCTGTTTTGTATCTGGAAGTGACAAGCCTGGGAATTCATATGATAACAATGTTTTCTTTAATGCAGATGTATGATTATAGTTTGGATATGTGGAGCTTGGGTTGTATGCTGGCAAGTATGATCTTCCGGAAGGAGCCATTTTTCCATGGACATGACAATTATGATCAGGTAATAACTTGTTATTTCCATTAAGAAATTACTGACCTAGTATAAAGATGGCTAGATCTACAAACTCATAAGAAACTTCAGTGGATCTGGGTTACAAGGTGAACTTCAAACCAGCCTGGGTTACAATGTTTAAAAATTAAAAACCCACCTGGGTTTTGCATTCCTTTAGTCCTAGCACCTAGGAGGCAAAGGGTATGTGGGCATGTGGGTCTCTGAGTCCATGTCCTGTCATTCCCCTCCTCCTCTTACACACACACACACACACACACACACACACACACACACACACACACGGTAGCCCATACCTTTAATCCCAGCACTCAGGAGGACAAGGCAGCAAATCTTGTGAATTAAAGGCCAGCTTGGTCTACACAGCAAGTTCTAGGACAGTCAGAGCTACATAGAGTAAACGTGTCTTAAAAACTTAAATATTTTTAGTGTAAAGTACAGTTGCCTCATACTCTGCCTCACCCCCAATCTCACCTCCAAATCCAGTTCATAATGCACAGTATCTGAGAATTTTCTACTTGTTCACTGGTCCTTAGAGCAGCCCAGTTTAACCTTTAGACATCAGAATGTCACTCCCTACCCTGTCTTTTTAGTATTTTTCTGTTGCTTCTTAGTATGCATGTGAAAGTGCTCTATAAAACATGTGGGGGGGGGGGCGCTGGAGAGATGCTCAGTGGTTAAGAGCACTGACTGCTCTTCCAGAGGTCCTTAGTTCAATCCCCAGCAACCACATGGTGGCTCACAACCATCTGTAATGAGATCTGGCGCCTTCTTCTGGCCTGCAGGCAAACATGCTGTATACATAATAGATAAATAAATCTTTTTTTTTTTTTTTTTTTTTTTTTTTTGGTTTTTCGAGACAGGGTTTCTCTGTGTAGCTTTGCGCCTTTTCCTGGAACTCACTTGGTAGCCCAGGCTGGCCTCGAACTCACAGAGATCCGCCTGGCTTTGCCTCCCGAGTGCTGGGATTAAAGGCGTGCGCCACCACCGCCCGGCTAGATAAATAAATCTTTAAAAAAAAAAAATGTACAGGGGCTTAGTGTACTTAGTGGCTTAGAGGGGTTTGCTGCTCTTGCACATGACCTGGGTACAGGTTTGTACAGCTTTTAGCACCCACATCAGTTAGCTCACAACCACCTGTAATTCCAGTTACTGGTGATCTGATGTCCTCTTCTGACCTTCATGAGTACAGCACGTGTGGTGCACATACATACATAAAAAAGGTTGCTTTTTAAATTTTTTTTGGTGGGGGGTGGTCATTAAATATTTTTCAAAAAATGAGGCTGGAGCCAGGCATGATGCACGCCTTTAATCCCAGTGCTCCGGAGGCATTCTGAGTTGGAGGACAGCCTAGTCTACAAAGAGAGTTCCAAGTCAGCCAGGGGGAAAAAAAAGATGAGGCTGGAGAGATGGTGAGTGGTTAAGACCACTTGTTGAGTTTGCATAGGACCTGGGTTCAGTTTCCTACACCCAAATGATTGCTCACAACCAGTTATAACTCCAGTTCCAGATGATCTAACTCCCTCTTGACCTCTGTGGACTCCAGACATGCGTGTGGTACATAGACATACATGTAGACAAAACACTCATACACATAAAATAAAAATAGATCTCTTTTAGAAATATTTTCTTCCATGTGTTGGCTTATATTTAATAGTGCTGTGGTCATTTTCTGCATATAAATTGAGTTTAGATGTATATATTTATATATCAATAGAAATGTAGATGGTACTTTGAACTAGTTATACTTGCCCCTTAAAATTCAAGGAACCCACAGAACTAATGATAATAGGAAGGTATCAATGCCTAGTTCCCTTTGGGCACAGTAAACATTTTGTTTTTTGAGACAGGGTATCTCTATGTTGCCCTGACTGGCTTGTAACTCAAATATGCCTGCCTCTGCTGGGGCACCCCCCCACCCCAGTGCTGGGATTAAAGGTGTGTGTCGCCACATTATGCCATTTAGCATAATGGACAATTTTTTTACTTTTAAGATACCTTTAACTAAAGACAACCCCTGGGAAGTTGCAGCTTTATGTCAAGTGCCATACAGGACTGAAGGGATATAGAGGTGAAGAGGAATACCTTCAAATAGCTCATTGTCTGTCTATAGGCAAATCCAGCAGTAAAAGCAATTGACTATAATAATGTAAATACAAAAGTGTGAGAAGTTCCAAAAGAAGAGACATCATCATTTTAGTTGTGATGAGGCATAAAGACTATCAGGGGGCTTTCAAGGGAAGAAAAGAAACCAGGCAAAGTAGTTGGCTTTTTCTAACATTTTCACATTGAGTGGACTTAGGGATTTTATAGGAAATAACTGCTACACACCAAAATTTGAATTAATCATTAAGGGGTAACATTTATTTATAGGGCATATTAGTACCTTTTATTTAATTCATTTATTAGTTCTTATTTGATGATATAATATGCTTGTGGTGTGGGTTTTGTTTTTCTTTAATATTAGTTGGTGAGGATAGCCAAGGTTCTGGGAACAGAAGATTTATATGACTATATTGACAAGTACAACATTGAATTAGATCCACGTTTCAACGATATCTTGGGCAGGTAAGTCTCTCTCTCTCTCTCTCTCTCTCTCTCTCTCTCTCTCTCTCTCTCTCTCTCTCTCTCTCTCTCTCTCTCTCACACACACACACACACACACACACACAATCTGTCTGTGGTTTGGCATTTTGGATCCTGGAAATTGCCTTGTTCTCTTTACCAGAAGTGTAAGGTGTCTGATTTGGTGCTGAGGATGCTGTTTGAGCACACTTGATAACATCAGATTGAATGGCCATCTGTCCAAATTCACATAGAAAAGTCTTGAGTGTGAAGATTATAGTTGGAGGTTCCTGTGAAGGGAGTTTCAGTAAATGTGGGGTCTAAGTAGAAGAACAAGTCAATCAAACATGGGAGTCTCTTCTGATGGCATTTGCATCTTAAATGGCAGGACTTTCTAAACAGAGACATAGACTGATTTGCTGACAGTTCCCTGGCAGTGCTGATGAGACAGAATAGGAGTACACTGGCCACTTCATACAAGACAGACTTCCTGAAGCAAAGGCATTTATTATCTGCTAAGTGGCAGAATTGGTCAAGAATAAAGATAGGGGAGGAGTACTGGCTAGCTCAGCCACCTGAGTGCTGCGTAAGTTTATTTGTATAAATTATAAATTTATCATTTAACAACCTAAAAGTCACCTGAAGTGTGATTCTTCAAAGGGGGAAGCCCCGGGTTTCTCCTTGGTGCAACACTCATTTCCAGTCTGTCTGTGGGTGTTATCCCCACAGTTGTCCCTGTGGTATAGTAGTGATACAAGACTGTTCTTTGGATTTTATCCCTCTTTGCTTTTGTTAGGTTCTGTACCCCATGTCCCATTTCTCATTTCTAATTTTGCCTTACAGACACTCTCGTAAGCGATGGGAACGCTTCGTCCACAGTGAAAACCAGCATCTTGTTAGCCCTGAGGCCTTGGATTTTCTGGACAAGCTCCTACGATATGACCACCAGTCACGACTCACTGCAAGAGAGGCCATGGAGCATCCTTACTTCTGTGAGTCCACTTGTATAGCCTTTCACTGCCCAGCAGACTAAATGAGGCAGAGGAGAATTTATGTAAGAGGTTCACCACAAGTTCCAAGTCAGATTGGACTACATTCCAATCCAGGCTGGGTTATAAAGTAAGAATCTATCCAAAAACAAAACAAAACAAAAAGAAATTGTTGCAAAGATTCTTGTCTATAGACATTTATTTTTCTACTATTTCCCAATAGCTGGTTTGACCTGGTTGAATATAATAGGTGTTGACCTGTTTCATTTGTTGGAGAGAGCCAGTGAGGTTTCCAAGTCTTAACTATTGTATAAACCATTAAGGTTTATGGGTATATAGCCAAATATGCTTTTGTGAGTGAAATGATACTAACATCCACTCTAGACTCACCATGCTATTTGTTTCAACATTGGATTGTTCCCTAAAGGATAGTGCAATGGTTTTCCAATTAGTCTGGTACCCTGTTGCCAAGTCCCCTATAACTAAAACCCGTATGCTGATTGGTATGAAGAGTAAAGTCTGTGCTTATAACACTAAGCTACACAGCAAATAACTTTGGCCCACTCAGTCTCTTCCTCTGGTGGACCAATTAACTGATTATGAATTGTTATCTTGGCCAGGTTAGATTGTATTATCTCCATTAAATACTCATTTAACTATCTTCATTTTGAATTTAGCTCTATAGTGGATATTTACTTACCATCCTACCATTGTCTTCAGACTTGGTTTTTAACCACAGGTCTGTTTATTATGCACTTTTTATTGGATTCATAGTGAAAGTAGTTGTCACTTTATGTTCCAGGAGTAATAAAGAGTATAAATTAAAGGTAAAGATTGAAGGTAGCCACTCTTATTTCTTCCCAACTAGTTTAGTACATCAAACAGAAGAGAACCTAACCTTACTGCCTGTTTTCCAGACACTGTTGTGAAGGACCAGGCTCGAATGAGTTCATCTAGCATGCCAGGGGGCAGTACACCTGTCAGCAGCGCCAATATGATGTCAGGTTGGTTGATTGGTAAATTCTCTTTTTAGAAAATTTAGAAGAAAGTTACTGTTCTTAGTTTCAGTTCCTTCTTTGTGCTTTTCTTGTGTACCTTTTCTTTTCTATAAAATGGTCAACATGGGTAGGTCTAAGAACATTGACATGCATTGTGTGGAAGCCAGAGGTCAGACTCAGCAATGGTTGTTGGGGAGCAATCCACTTTGTTTGTTGTTAAGAGTGTGTTTACCTGCGTGTATGCATGTGCACCATAACACAGGCTTTCTCCCTGGCACCCACCAATCAACTGGCCAGACAGCCCCAAGGATCTATCTTCCCCAACCCTAGATTTGCAATGGTGCGCCCCTACATGCAGATTTTTACGTGGGTGCTGGGGATCAAAAATTGGTCACTGAGTATATATAATCGGTGCTGCTAGATACTCTGAATATACTTGTAGTAAGTAGGAGAGCAACTTCAAAACTCCAGTGTCCCTACAGAAAATTTCTTGCAGAGACTTGAATTCCCAACAAATCATGAAGAACAAAGAAATGTATATGTTTGTTTGTTTGTTATAATTGCTTTTTTGAAGCAGGGTCTTATAAGGCTTGAAGATTTTTTACTATATATTTTTTACTACATATTCCTTTAAGCCTTTTGTATTTTGAACCATGTACAAAAATCTCCTGTATTCATAATTTTACTTACTCATGATTTAAAAATACAATTTGTCTGGAATCTATCAAGAGAAAACATACTCATATAACTTTTGTTAGAGTTTTTGTTAAATTATTGTACGACTGTGCCTAGTTTATAAACTAATCTTTATTATACATATATGTATATAGAAAAAACATAGTGTACATACATATGTATAATGTTGGGTACTCTCCATGGTTTCAGGCATCCTGGGGCCTTGGAACACATCCTCCACAGATAGGGGGCAGTCTTGTATTTGGAGGGGAGAGACAGAACTGGCTAATTGAGGGCAAGCTGACATGTAATTGTGATAGAAATGGAGAAGAAACCAAATGGAAATAGATTCCAAATCACAGTCATAATTTAGTCAAGAATTCACCTTTCTCCACTAAGTGACCATTGTAGATTGACAGTTGACTGAAGTCCTGTCCTGTTCAGTATGGTAGAAACTGCCCACACAGCTATTTAATGAAAACTGAGTAAAAGTAGTCTTGAGTCCCCAGTCCTTGTAGCCACATTTCAAATGCCTGCTCACCACACGTCTAGGCAGAGGTCATCCTGTGAGAAGATGGGATGCAGAGCAGAGAGCTTCTAGACAGGCTGCTGATGGTATCTGTGTGTAATTGTCAGTTAGCTGCCTGCTAAATTCATTGATTAGGGCATGTTGTTTTAACTTGGATTTGTACAGATTAAACTTTGAAGTATGCCAACAAATGTGGCCAAGAGAAATCATGAAGAAAGAATTTTGTGTTAACTTTTGGGAAAGTTTTATGGAACGTTTGTTGGCTACGATTGGTGTGCTTGGTGTCTCTGGCTTACTGTTGGCTGTTCTTTCAGGGATCTCTTCAGTGCCAACCCCTTCACCCCTTGGACCTCTGGCAGGCTCACCAGTGATTGCTGCTGCCAACTCCCTTGGGATGCCTGTTCCAGCTGCCGCTGGCGCTCAGCAGTAATGACCCCCATCTATCTCCTGATGCCTAAGCAGAGGTGGGGAAATCCACCCTCTCCTTGATGCAGCTTGCGCCTGGTTGGGAGGGGTGAGAACTCTTCAGAAGCACCGTGTCTGAACCGTTGCTTGTGGATTTAGTAGTTGAGTCATAAAAAAAATTATAATAGGCTGATTTTCTTTTTTTTCCTTTTTTTTTTTTTTTTTTAAAAAAAAAACTTGGACTTTTCATAACTCAGGGGATTCCCTGAAAAATTACCTGCAGGTGGAATATTTCATGGACAAAATTTTTCTCCCCTTCCAAATTCAGTTCATCACCACTAAAGAACAAAGATAAACTGGCCTCAGTCCCAGCTGCTGCGTTTGGGTGGAGATTTCTTCCCCTTCCCACATTGCTCTCCCCACATTACTACACTCTTGGGGACTGGATCTCATGCTCTTCCCCAGAGATTATAAAATGTAGCTTATCAAGGGAGGTGGGAAGGAAAGAGGCAGGGAGGACCCAGTCCATCCTGAACACTGCTCTGCTGGTCACTCCATCACCTTTCTCCAGGACTCGTCCATGGGTTACTCCAGCACTGGTGGAGGTGGATCTGTCTTAGTTACATCAAGATGTTAAGTCACCCGACTTGCAGACAGATCCTGAAGCTTCTTTTCTGAATGAATCATGTCTTACTGACCTAAACCTAAATCATTTTAATTTTAGTTTAGTTTGACTCTGTCATACTTTCCCTCCCGGGCTCCTGTTTTGGTCTTTCCCTTTTCATCTCCTGACATACTGTGCTTCATAGCTGGTAGGAGAGGGAAGGCAGAATCTTTTTCAGTTTTCTTTGACTTGGCCATTTTGAAGTCAGTTAGTTACTGGGCGTAATTTATTGCTTTTTAAAAAAGAAATACTGTCCATATAAGTTTCACGCTAGCACTCTTAAGAGCTAACGGGTGATGTGGCCACACTGGGTTCATTTTAAGCATTGTACTTTTTTCTCCTACCCTCCCCTTTCTTCACATGCCATCTAGTGAGGAGACTGCTCTCAGAGTTGTAATTGTATCTGAGGCAGGAGCAGAGCCACTATCTTCAGTGAGCCAGAAATGGTAGACCTGTAATTGTGGGAAACTATCAGTTCTCTTGTTATGGCCCTGCTGCCATCCCTCGCTGTGTGTATATATATAATACTTTGTCCTTCATATGTGAAAGATCCAGTGTTGGAATTCTTTGGTGTAAATAAACGTTTGGTTTTATTTATCAAGGTTAGATTTAAGTTCCCTGTGTAAAGGTCTCTCTGGGTGGGTGTCTCACATTCAAACCTGAAGGGACTACAGCCCATACCATGGAGGCTTCCCAAGGCCCTCATTTTTATACACCCCTCATTCGACCCATGGTACTGGGCAGGGCAGAGAGGCCTTAAAAAAAAGCACCACAAGCCAAAGCGTCTCTGGGGATTAAGGATCCTTTGCCATAAAACTCATTCTGTGTCTCAGCATTGCAGGGATTGGGGATAGGACAAGTCGCCAGTTTGTGTGTTTGTGTGTGTGTATAAAGTGGACTTTCCACTGTAATCCAGCCACCTAAGTTTTATCAGGTGCTTCACTGAGGAAGCCTAGTTTTTTAAGCACAATAGCAAAACATCAGCTCTGTATTTTCTCCTGTTTCATTACAGTAGCTGCCTATGGGGACTAGGAAAAAAAATCTTCCAACATGTTTTAAGGCCTAAAATCTTAGTTCCCCATTCTCCTACCTTTATAGACTCATAAGCCTTTCTCACCTGGCATCATAGATAAAACATAATTGTTTGGGGAGTTGAATTTAATTAACTTACCTAACTTTGTAACCCATCTTGGCTTTAGTGACTGTATCAAGGTGGTGGCTTTAGCGAATGTAATGATAAAGTAGAAGGCGCTAATGCCTTTCTTAACCTTTCTCAACTTTAGGAAGAGCTAAAAGACAACGTTCTGACTGCAGAGTGATTTTTCTAATTTTGGCCACTTGCAGTGACTATTTATTGTACTTGATTCTTGTTTGCCCTAGCGTGCTGTGAGGGTTACCATGTTGGATTTGTGCAGAGCCGAAAGCACCAAGTGTGCTAGAGATGCGGTTTGTGATTATGTTTGCACTGGATCGTGATTTGAACAAGACACTTAGACTGAATTCTTTCTGGTGAGGTGGAGAGGAAGGTTGTAGATCAGGACTCCACACCCTATTCACAGCTCAGAAGTCTAGGTGTGTTGGAGGCTGGTGTGGCTAACTGCAGATGCCTAGGCCTCCTCACACTCATCACACCTAGTACAAGAGCTGACGGTGAATGCAGAGGACTCTGAAGTGCACCTGAGAGCCTTTTAAAATAAATAGAAATGTAAAAGAGACAGGGAGTCACTGCAGAAATGTGCAGAGTTTTAAAAGACCTGGTTCGGCGGGGGTGGGTAGGGTGGGTCAGGGTTTACAGAGTAACAACTTCTGTGTTGTAAATTACCTCATCTGTACACCTTGTATTGGGACACTATTTCTCAGCACTTCCTGTGTCTGCATTGCTTAGATGGCGGGAAATAGATGCCAATATACAACAGCTGTGTTGGCAGTTATTCTGAAAGTATATTTTAACTTTGTTTTGAAGTGTGCCCTTCCCCCTTTAAGTTTAAAGTCAGAATTCCTCTCTTTGATTTATTGGTTGTAATTGTATTGTAATTGGTATGACTAAGACATAACTGTGCTGGGAAGAAGTTGTGCCATGAAGGTCTTTAATTTTTTTTTTTTAATAAAAAAACATTTAAATAAATGAAATGTCCCTGCAGCCTGAGCAATATGCTTCTCCAACCGACACCGTGTGTGATAAGGGATGGCTTAGTTTTTGTGTGATTTGAACTTACTACTGGGTTGGTGGAGAAATTAGGAGGGAGAAATGGATATTGGTGAGAACTTTGAAGTCTGAGATTTTGGGCATTGAAGTACGGTGGAAGGGAGCATGACGGTTCTATCTCATTTATGTCCCTGTCTCACACGTAGTTACTAGGCACATTCACATAACTTGTCAGTTAGTCTCATCTGTTAGATGGGACCACTGTTCTCGGGGATGCAGTGAGAATGTATTTGTGTCAGGAGTCTGGCACTTATCCAATCCCTCTGGTTAGTGCTTGCTGTTCACTTTGTCAGCAGTTCACAGTACAGTTTGAAAGAGGCCCTTCCCTCTTCGGGCCCTCTATATGTTTTAAGGATTAGAACTTCTGAGTGGTACTTGATTTAAAAAGACCCGTGGAAACAGTTTGTTTCAAGGGGGTAAATGTTGATGAACTGTGTATAATCCCTGTGGACAGTCAACCTTGAAGATAGTCCAGCTATGGAGGCTGTTTTGCAGTCTTAGAGACCTGGGCTGTGTGTGGGTGTGCTGGTGAACTTGTGGGAACATACTAGGCAGCTTAAATACAAGCTGCCATAAAGGGCTGACAAAGTGTGGAACAGGTAACTGACTTCTCAGTACCAGTAAAGTCCTCACAAACAGCAGAACCTATATGCTTCTCACTTAATCATAGGTGTAAGAACTGGAGAGTGCTGGTATCCTGAATTTCTCCTCTGCCTTAAATGTTCACTGCATAGCATTTTACAGCTCCAGCTTCTTGGAGTTGAGGTTATTGCGGATTGAGAAGCTAGGTTTAGATACAAGAACCTATCATGTAATATAATTTAAATTGGTCATTTGAGCCAATCCTAAAAAATGTAGTTTTGTTGTCACTACAGATTTCCCCCAGCAGGTTTGAGTGGTTCTTCATAGTCGTAGGTCCTTGGCCTGCCTTCATGCTGGTGTTTTTCTCCGTTTTTCTCCTTAGTGTTGTGGTTTTAGTCCCTGGTTGTGGGTGATGTGTGCTAAAGAGGCTGGCTGACTTCTAGGACCATTTCCCTCCTTGTTTTTTCAAGATGGTTTCTCTGTATAACAGTCCTGGAACTCACTTTATAGACCAGGCTGGCCTTGAACTCAGAGATCTGCCTACCTCTGCCTTCTTAGTGCCGGAATTAAAGGCATGCGCCACAGTAACCAGCGTAGATCCATTTCTTGGTTGAGGAAGAAGTTAAATTAACGAGAAGTATTTGGGGTGACACTCACTTCCGTCCTCAAAAATCGGGTCTGAAAACTTGGATCCTCATGTCTCACCCCTGTGGCATTTCCTTTCCTTGTTTCTATTGTTTTCCTTTCTTTCTCTTGCCACGTGAACCTTCCTTGTATTATTTTATTGATTTAATTGTCCATCCCACGTGCAAGTCAGCTCCCTGGTGACCTTGTTTGTCTTACTAAAATGTAGGATTGAGGAGGGTTGAATGGAATAACATGGTGTTTACTAAATGACTGGTTCCTTGGTCCCCTACCATCCTTCTCTCCCCTCCACACATGCAAGAAATGGAAGTATCATGACAAGGTGCATCTCAGAACTTTGTCCTTGCTTTGTAGCTGTAATTACAAGCCATAGACCAGACTGGATCAGTAGAACAAGAAAATGTTTAATGAGCCCTAGTAAATAAATGGATGAGACTAAGCAATAATCCCAACCAATTTAGAAGATTTAAATACAGAAATTTGGTTTTGGTTTTGTTTTGTTGGAGGGGCGGGGGCAGGGTCTCTAGTTCTGGCTGTCTGGAACTGTTTTGTCGACCAGGCTGGCCTTGAACTAACAGATCTACCTTCTGCCTGTGTGCTAGGATTAAAGTCGAGCACTGCCATACCTGGCTCAGAAACCTTTTGTTTCATTTCTTTTTTTCGAAACATGGTTTCTCTGTGCTCTGAGTAGCTCTGGCTATCCTGGAACTTGCTCTATAGACCAGGCTGACCATCTGCCTCTGCCTCATGAGTCCTGGGATTAAAGGCATGTGCCACCACCGCCCAGCTCAGAAATCATTTTTTAATTCCTGTATATAATTATATAAAATGCAGACTGTTCTCCAAATAAGATGGATACATAGAGAGTATCACAAGGTATTCTGGTTCTGGAAGCCCATCTTAATGTAGGCAAATAATTGATAGAATTTGTATCTTTCTTTGACACTGTGAGAAAGTTAACCACTTCCAAGAAGCAACCTAGCAGAACTGCAGATGATCTGCTTTTAAACCGAGTTCTGTCTGGCTCTGTGAGTTGGGGGTTAGTTATTTAACCTCTCTGAATCTTCATGAGTAATTTAAATTATTATTGTAAGACATTACCAATATGTACCAAGATTTAAAGAAAACTAAAGATCCAGGGAAGGGCAGCCACCCAAATTGAGTCTTCGTTGCATGGGGATGGGACCCTTGTTTACCCTCCCTGGTCATAACCACTTTTTGTCCCAGAATTCCCAATATTTTCTTCATCTATTAAGACAGAAGTAAAAATACTTGCTGCATAACTCGTATGTTCATATTAGATGCTAAGTGTAAGTGCTCACTGAAGTTTTAGGCTGTAGTAGACTTGGAGCAGATGATGGCTTCTTACTTTACTATGTAGCTGTACAGTTATGTATAATAAGGCATCTATTGGAAGGCTGTAGGTCTGTGCATATGAAAAGCTTAGTTTTCAGAAGGTGGAAACAACATCTTTGCTAGAAAAGAAAAAGTATTATTTAAGCGAGGCAGGCTTCCACCAAATCAGCCAGCTTTCTGATTTTCCCCAAAACCTAGCACCACCATTTGCTATTCCACTCTTCTCTTTGATCTTCTGTCACTCTGGCCATAGTCAGTGGGTTCTTCTTGACCACCATGAACTAGCCCTGCCCTGTGCCCTCCATATAGGCTCTTCCAGGATGGCTAGTCCATTTCTTACAGGAGTGGCTGCAGGAATTGAGGATTTCGCAGTCAGCAGCATTTTTGCTTCTCTTGCTTTGACCAGAATTGTCTTGGCTCTAAGGATAAGAAGGGTAAAGGGGAACAACAGCTTCCTAAACCACTCTGATTCTCAGCCATAAAATACTTGTAGCAGAAACCTGGAAAGTGGTTGTTGAACTTCCAAAGGCCTAAACCCCTCATAGTGTCTCATGTAGTCAGTCCAGGTTGGCCTGGAACTCATTATGTAGCTGAAGTAACCTTGAACTCATGATCTTCCTGTTTCTACCTCCCAGGTGCTTGTAGGAAGACTTTTCTTTCCTGTACACCAGTTCCCAAATAACAGACACAGAGACTTAATATTAATTATAAATGCTCTGACAATAGCTCAGGCTTATTACTAGCTAACTCTTAATATTTTAAATTAACTCATTTATATTAATCTACACTCTGCCACATGACGTTACCTCTCTTTCATCTTGAACCTCCTGTTTCTCTGCATGTCTGGCTGGCGATTTATGATTCTGCCCTTCTTCTTCCCAGTGTCCTTAGTCTGGTTCTCCCTCCTAACCTTATCCTGTCCAGCTATTAGCCAGTCAGTTTCTTTATTAAACCAGTCACAGTGGTATATATTCACACAGTGCTGGTGTTGATCCCCTCCCCTTCCTCTTCACATCCCATTCTGTATATTCATATCCATTCCTTTCCCTGCTCCCCTGCAGGGGTTCATCTTTCTCTCCTGCTTTGACTGTCTTCCCAAAGTTTATATATTTTTAAACATTTATTTTTGCTTTAGTTTTTGAGGTAAGGCCTCACACTGTAGCCCAGGTTGGCCTGGAACTTAATATGTAGCTCATACAGACCTTGAGCTTGCCTATAATCATTTCTCAACTTTCCAGTGCTGAGCTTACGGGTGTACATCTGGCCTGACTTTATTTCTATATAAGATATCATTCAACAAAAATGTCGGTGTTCATGAGCGTGGGCCTATGCTAAACAGTTTGGAGTAAGAGCATAGATGCAAGCTGTGTAGAAATATCAAATAGGAAAGTGAGAATCAAGGTCATATATGTGGAATAATTCTAACCTGTCTGTTTTTTAATTTCTTAGAAAAAAATTGGGGATTGTAGCTCAATATTGAAGCCTAGCATGCGTAAGGCTCTGGATTCTCTCTCTAGCACTGCAATAAAATAATCAGTTGATTAATTATGTATGAAAATTAAAGATTTCCAGTCAACATTATAGAAGGAACTAATTTGTGTAGGTACTCACTTTTACTACAGATGCATACAGACACCACAATTGACTTTAAAATGGAAGGCCAGATTAAAGAAAGGGACATTCCCACTTTTTCAAGGGAAGTTAGAATCTATACTGAAGAATAAGGACATACTGAAAACTAGATACAAATGAGCCTCAGAGTGCCTTTCCAGGTAGAAACTGAAACAGTCCCCTGATGCTTGTAGAGGCCGCCTCTGTGGAAACATCTGGAAGAAAACAAACTATTAACCATAATTGCCTCTGGAAAATGGGTTTACAATAGCACAGGAAACCCTACCAGGAAAAAGCCCTGAACTATAAGGATCAGAACTATTCATGGCTTCTGTTTCCTGAGTGATGTGTACAGCTGTGCTTTTAAGGCGTCCCTGAGCCCTGCTTTGTCATCGAACTCTCTTTTGTTTTTGCTCCCGCTTTATAGTCTGGCATCCACATAGACTTGTAGGGCAGTTGGTCTAGACTAGGTTGAGCCAAGCAGCTATGCTTCAGGTTTAGCCTCTGCTGGATTGGGCATCTCCATTTGGATCAGATTCACGTTTGTTCCAGGTGGTTCCTTCTGAGTCACATGCTGAAACTAGCTGCCTGGGACATGTTATCCATGGTGGACTGCCGAAACACAGAGGCCAGATGAAGTCACACAGGTATGTGCCACCCTGTTGGCCACAAGTCGTCAAGCCCATCGTCGGTGAGACAAGGACGTATACACCTCATGTTGAGAGAACTGTTGGAAGTAATATGGCAAAGGACACGCTATATAGTCTTATAAGACAGTGAAGAACTGAGACCAGTAACGCAATCAATCATGCTATCTCAGCAGAAACTGAAGGCTGTCTAACTGCTGATCACTCACTGAGGAGTGAGCTGTTTTACTCATTGAAGTATCCAAAATCATACATAAGTTCCATCTATAGTCATCCCTTTGTATCCATGAAGGATTGATTCTAGAATGCACCCCCCACCACCACCAGAATCTACCTACCTAGCCTTGAGTTCCTTCTGTAGAATGGCCTTGCAGTTAATCTCATAATTTCCCACATACTTGTATGTCACATCTGTATAATGTCTAAATACAATGTAAATGTTATGTGGATTGTACTCTTATTTAGGGGAAGATGACAGAAGTCCTTGTTCAATCCAGAACTAATATTTTTATTTTAGGAGATTTTTAATTCTCCGTTGAGTGGGTATAGAACTCACAATTACAGAGGACCATTATATATGTCTTTATCAGAGAAATCCTTGTGCTTTTAGTTTGTTTAAAAAAGGTTTGTTTTTAGTGACATGTGTGGGTATGTGCACATGAATGTGGGTGCCTACAGAGCCATTGGGTCCTCTTGAGCTGGTGCTGCAGGGGGTTGTGAGCCACCCAACGTGGGTAATAGAAATTGAACTCAGGTCCTCTAGAAGAGCAGTATGAGAGCTCTTTGACTATTGAACCATCTCTAGCCTTTTGTGTGTTTGTTTTTTGACAGGGTTTTAGCCCTTGCAGCAATCCTGCATCAGCCTCCTGAATGCAAGGATTACAAGTGTGAGCCTCCACACCTGACATAATTCTTGTTTTCCAACAATTGAAATCAGTTCCAAGTTTGAGGCTTCCTGTCCAGAACAACATGAAGTCCTGCTGCACAGAGAGCTTCTGCAGTCTAGGAGTGTTGTGTTTTGGGGGAAGTGGTTACAAGTGTTTTCACTTTGTAATTTTCGTTAAACAGTACATTATGATTGGCAAAATTGTAAAGGGTTCAAATGTTTAAAGATTTTAAAAATAAAATGGAAAACCCAAAAGAAATCCAAAAATGAACCAACTCTAGGAGAATGGGGGGAAGTTAACATAAATCCATCACCTGGTCAGCTGTGAGGAGAATTTGCAGCCGTCATGGAGATAGTGAAGATTGGTCTGACCAAAATTAGAATGTCACAATAAAGAATTTGTGATGGGAAGTGTGGGTGTAGTAGCGTCTGTAACAAGGTAAGCAGTTTAGAAGCACTCAACACTTTTTATGAGAAGTAAATAATAGGTAAAATTGAAAAAACAATTAGTTCTTTATGCATGTTTTGATATTTTTTATTGTTAACATAATAGAACTATGTACTTGTTACACTGTATTGCTCTGGTTAAAACAAACTAAATTTTAATAAATGGATATTTATTTTGAATACATTCTTTTTTACCATTCCAACTGCCAAATTCCTTGTGCAGGCCACCATCCTGATGCCTCAGTTATCACAACTAATACTCTTACGCCATCCTATTAGTCTTGATGCCAGATTGGTCCTAAACTTTCTAGTCAGAGAACTCATTGAGAAACAAGTCTTGATTTTTGCTTCAAAGTTTCCCAGTTGCACACAGTTTCTGCTTTCTCCCAATATATTCCCCCTTCTTGTAGACAGTGCCCCACTTGAAGGGTGGGAGAGATGACCAGCTTTCTCTTCTGGGACTTGGGTAATATGAGAGACAGGCACATGAGAAGTCGTATGGAGAGCAATGGTCAAAGGTAAAGAGAGACAAGCATGATGTAGAAGCAGAGATTGACAGCTAAAGTGAATACAGGTGAAAGATGGGCCCTGGCACTTCAAGGCTTACCCAGACTCTGTTTTCATTACAACACATTCTGATGTTTTCATTACAACCACACCAAAACCAGAATGTCTCTTTAAAAGTCTGTTAGAAGGAAACAGTAACTACTATGAGAGAGAAAGTCACTCTCCTTTGTCTCCTACCACACAAAAGCCCAAAATTGGAAGGTAGGGTACCAAGTACTCACTCAACTGGAAGAAAACAAAAACCACCCCTCAGTAGGGACAAATGTGTACTGGGTCTAGTACTCCAGCCACAGCGGAGCAGGAGCACTAAGGAAGCCACACCTCAAGTCCCAGGGACACGGTGCCTGAAGAAGACAGGTGGCCTTAGTGCTCTAGACCCTATCTGTGCTAAGCGAATGAGCATTGAATGATATGTACTAATAGCAGTACTGAGAAGGACAAGGGCATAGAAAGCCTCTGAGGAAGATACCAACGGAAGACAAGAGCACAATAAGAGAAAAATCACTCTGCACGCCAAGTCAACAAACAATGGCAGAAGAATTTGAAGCTTGTCCATGTAGTTTGACCTCAGCAACAATAAACTGACCAGGCCCAACTCAGCTGCTGCAGTAAAGGCCTAGCAGAAGGAAAGGCATGCCTAATTCCATGCCTGAAAACCTTTATCTTTGAATTTCTGCTGTCCTGCGTGAGATACCCAACTTCTACTAACACTTTAGATGATAGATATGTGGTGCACTTCCAAGAAGCAATCTTGCACAGTTAGACTGATGTCACATGCTGGAGCTAATAAATAATGAACTAAAGGGTGATATGATAGAGCAATTGAAAAAATCAACATGCAAAGGTGTAGAGACAGGGTGGGAGTGTAACTCAGTGGTTGTAAACTCCACCCACCCAGTTCCTACCTACCAGGACACTTGAGGTTTTCCTGTAGACAGGTAAGGTGACTCAGCAGGTTAAAGGCACACCTATTGACAAAATTGAGTCCTATCTTCAGGACTCAAGGCGGAAAGAACTAGCTCCACCCACTGTCTGACATGCATATCCACAAAGAAATAGAATTACCAGATTCTGAGTTTAAAAAAGAAAGAGAATAAGGGCACTGAGATGGTCCACCCTGTTAAGTGCATTTTGTGCAAGGCTAACAGCCAGAGTTTGATCCCCTGGATCCACATGAAGGGAGGAGAGAACCAGCTTTACATATTATCATCTGATCTCTATATGCATGTGCCCATACACCCTACACACAGTAACAAGCCAGATTTAGTGGCAAATCCCTTTAATTCCAGAACTTGGGAGGCAGAGGCAGGCAAAACGGCTACAGAATGAGACCTTGTCTCAATAAATACATACTAGGAGTTGAAAAGATGGCTCAGTGGTTAAGAACACTCACTGCTCCTGCAGAGGAGCAGGTTGGTTCCCAGCACCCACGTGACAATTCACAACCTCCAGTTCCATGGCTTCAGAACTCTCTTCTGGCTTATGAGGGCTCCTGTACACATGTGGTGCACATAAGCATGCAGGCAAATACACATAAAGGGATAAATATAAAAATACTAAAAGATTGAGACAACATTAGAGAATAAGTTCATGCATAGATAACGCTAGGCAGATCACATTTAAATTGCTGAAATACATTTCTTTCCTAGTTTAGTAAATGATGGCAAGTGCTTTTACCCACAGAACCGTCCTCAGTCCTCCTTGAATTTTAAGAATCCTCTCTCCAGGAGGGAATGTTCTACTTTGGAGGAAATAGCTATGTAACAGTCAGTCACTAAGCAGCTACTCCTTTACTTGAACTTTACCACCTTTCCCTTTGTCATGAGAGTCAGACATTGCCTTGTTTTACAGTGGTAGAGAGTTGGCTTTAACCTCAGAATGACCACAAAGTTTGGCCCATCCCGTTACAGTGCTAGGGGAGAGAGGAATCACTAACAGATCGCCACTGAAGGCAGGAATCCAGAATTGACTGGCTCACTGACCAACACAGTCATAAATGCTGTGACCCAAATTGCTTAAGCAGGTTAGTCCCAAGTGGGATGACCTCATTCTCCGAATTTCTCCCTGGGATGACTTAATTCTCTATGAGTACAAAGCATCTATTATCCTCGGTGATGATTTAGATAAGATAAGTCAGACTGAACTTCCAGTGTTAGTATTTATTTATTTGCAATAGAGATAATCAAATCTAGGGCCTTGGTATGTAGCACTGAGCTACATCTTCAGCCCCTAGGTGTTAATATCCTTGCATTATGGAACCTACGTAAGTGTAATACTTTAGATTCTTAGGAAGTTTTATATAATTTTAGGGCTAGAGATGTAGTTCAGTTGGTACAGTGCTTGTCTAGCATGCATGAAGTCCTGAGTTTTAAGTCCTAGCACCCCTTAAACTGGGCATGGTAGTAATGCTTGTAATTCCAGCACTCAGGAGGATCAGAAGTTCAAAGTTAACTTCAGTTAGCAGCTAATTCAAGGCCAGGATGTCTCCAAATTTAAGAAAACCAGGTGGAGGAATGGCTCAGTGGGTAAAAGTGCTTACAAGCAAGTCTAATAGCCTGAGATGGATTTGATTCCCAGAACGCATGTGATAGGAGAGAACCGACCCAAAAGTTGTCCTCTGGCCTCTGCACACTATGGCATTCCCACACCCACACACATACGCACTAAGTAAATATATGTAATAAAAGTACTTTGAGTGTGAATATTTTGCTTGCATTATGTATGTATACCACATGCATACCTGGAATCCAAAAGAGAGCATCAGATACTCTGGAACTGGAGTTAGACAGTTTTGAGCCACGTGTAGATGCTGGGAATTGAATCCTCTGCAAAAGCAACAAGTAAGTACTGCTGAGCCATTTCTCCACTCCCCCCCCCCCCCCCCCGCCCAAAAAAATTATTTATTTGACAGTTAAACCATGCAGCCCTGGTTGACCTAGAACTCAGAGATCTTGCTTCTACTTCGAGAGTGTTAGGGTTAAAGGCTTGTGCCACCATGCCTGGCCCCATGGTTCCACAGCCACTTATAAAATAATCACTCGGAGGCTTAATATTAATTACAAACTGTATGGCCTATGGCTCAAGTTTCTTGCTAGCTAGCTCTTATAACTTAACCCATTTCTATTAATCTATGTATTGCCACGTGTTCTGTGGCTTTACCTGTGTCCCATTACATGTTGTTCCTTGGACAGCGGGCTGATGGCTCTCCTTCCCCCATTCCACCCTTCTCTCTGTATCTCTGCATGGATTTCCCGCCTGCCTCCAAGCTGCCTTGCTGTAGGCCAAAGCTGCTTTATTTATTAGCCAATGGGAGCAACACATATATTCACAGCATACAGAAAGACATCCCACAGCACTTCCTTTTTTCTGTTTAATCAAAAAGGAATGTTTTTAACTTTAACATAGTGAAATTATATGTAACAAAATAGTTATCAAGCAAGAATTACAGTTATATAGTCTATTTGATTTGCCAAAATTAAAGAAAATATTCTATCTGTTCTATTTTTGTGAGTCTAAAGTTTCATATCTAATTTACCTTTTATTGTAACCAAGGAAAACTATAATTATATCTAGTCTTCAGTTCCATCAAAGAGTTCATATTACTTAAGTAAACAAGAAGTGCATTGTAAGCCACTTCCAGAATTCTAGAAATGACAGAGACATCTGGCTGCCTGGACAGTCACCCAAAGTTCCTCTGCAACATTGGGGCATCCATCTTCAGCCTACAGGCCTAAAGTCTCTGGCAGACTTTTTTTGTGAAGCAAGAAATTTGAAGGATTGTCTCGCCTATTGGCAAAGTTCATCAGCTGCTTCTCCGTGTCCTGCAGAATGTCTGGCTGTCTCCTCTGTGAAGCAGGAACCTGAAGGACCATCTCATCTTGCTAAGTTCAGTCGTCACCTTCCTATGGGTCCTGCATGTCCATTTTATATAGCATCCTGTCAAACAGTTGAGGCAAGGGCACTTTTTTGCCCAGTGGCTAACTTTTGCCACAAAGAAAGCAAACTCCATAATGAGTTTCTTCGATGTCCATCATCCTCTTTGAAGTAATTGGTGTTGCCAGGAGCAGAAGTGTCTTACTGTCCAGAAAAATATAAATTTTTAAAACATTTTAAATGCCACATTCTGTAGGTCTTTGAAGTGTTTGACGATTACCTACCTAATTTAAATATATCTATGTATATCTAGACAACTAACATGACTATAAGTTTTATTATAGATGACTAATTCTGTATTTTTAATTATATATTACAATTTTAAATGAGTTTAATAAACATAATATCTTAAACAAGAGTAGAAATATATATATACAGTATAACAAAATTAACTTTAAATTTGTATCAATAAAGAAAAATACATATTAATGTAAAATATGTAAGATTAGTAGTTGTTTTTTGGATTAAAGTAGATTCAATAGTCTACCCTTTTATCCTATCATTTCTATATCATATACCCCTTTCTTTTATTAGAGATTGACTGTGACCAATAACAATTTGTAACCAACCCTCTAAACAAATACAAACACCCATAATCCATTTTTGGGTAATGTGGGTGTAGTGTTCTAGGCTACTTCTTGCTGATTGGGGGCCACTTTTAACCTTATGGGGACCCTGTG